ACCAATTGACCTGATTTCAACCTCACCTACTTACTAGCTGATTCTCCACCAGTATACCGATAGAGTAAGCAGCGGTATCATTTCATCATCATCCATTAAAAAAACGCTCTAACGTATAATAAATAATATAAATAATCATCTAGTATAGAGGATTATCTATTAAATACTGTAATACATATCAAAGTAAATACGTACATTTTTTTATATAGACATAACATGTGTACTAGCCAGAATTGTTTATTGAAAGAAAACCTCTCAAACGGTAATCATTAAAATTATTATAATTTGTTATCCAGGGTTAAATACGCTGCAAACAGACATATTAATGCTGCAGCTAGTTAATATTTCGTATAACGTTGATACATTTACTACGTTTTAGTGATTTCTGGCAAACTCCATTTACATAATTTTAAACTATTACCTATATATTTTACCAACCCACACTGGCTCGTTAACTCGTATTATAATAATTTCAAGAAGCGAAATCTCTAATTAACCCTAGTTAAAATAGTATTATTTTAGATAGCAAAGATCTAGATCTATCTACTTCGTAGATTTACAACGCCAATAGCTGTAGAGTGCTACTATTATGTGTAGGTGTATTATTATTATCTACTACTGAGCGATGAAATCTTCACTTACATCTGTAATTCAGTATACGGTAGTCAAAAACATTTTGTGAACTGTTGCCGAATAGATTTACCCATATTTCTGTGAATATACTAGCAATTTCCCGCGCGGAACTCGTTATCTCCTGCTCCTGTGGGAATTTCGGTAAATTCCTTTATAGTTCTGTATAAGGAACTCATTTTGGAAATTTCATGTTTCTAGACCCAGTGGTTTTTTATGTGCGTTGACCAATCATGCCTTCATTTTTATTTTGGGATCTAATAGTAATAGCTAGGGCGAATTTATTAACACTTTAATGATTAATTAGGTTTGTTATACTATTTCCAGCACTGGATAATTGATCGGGAATCGGCAGGCTTGATGATGACCAGATTGAAATCTACAACTTTTCAGTATTATATGAATTATCTACGAAACCATTGCTAGCTTGTGATCTTACCTGTGATGCTATCAGCTACAATCAATTTAGTTCAGTATACAGAATAAAAATAATCTTATGTAAGTTGTCTAAACACATAAAATTGATACAAGTTAACAAATTGCTTGGCTCAGGTAAAAAGTGTGAAGGTGTTTCAAATGTTCAACCATCGATCAGTGTCAAAGTTATTCATTTCACCATCTACTTAGCTATTATTCACAAAGTAACCTTCGAAACGATTATTTATTATGTTCGGTATTCGGGAAATTGAATGATTGCGTCGAATGATCGCATTTTGGACCAATTCCCAAAGTTTGCTCTGGGTAATTAATAAATGTATAACAAGTAACATATTAATACAATATCTTTTTCCCTGTCGATACTTTACACTGAACACAAGTTTACCTATTTCAACAAATTAACAACATTCTTCTTTAATGATCTTAACTTTAGGTATCTATGAGTATTTATTTTATCGATGAACTAATTCAAAATACTGGAAGGATAATTTTACTTAGATGTTTAAAGCAATAATTTCAATAGGCATATTCTAAAATGAAAAAACAGTTCTTTGATCATTTGTTGCTCAGTTCTTTGATTTAATGTTGAACAGTTCTTGGACTTTTTTTATATACGTAATAAGATATCCTCTTTAAAAATGCAAATAAGAAAAAAAAAAAAACAAAAGAAATTCTACGTTTAAATATTGTTCAACGTGCCTACAAAGGTTCATTTATTAAAGTAGAAAAACAATATTTATACCCAAATAAGTTACATTAAGAAAGTTAATACGTTTTTATACTAACCTGCCTAAGCTGGATCAATAATATGAAAATATTACCAATCAGTCATCCAAGTAGCTCCTAAATGTTCATTCAGTTTTTGGGAACGTTCATAAATTACCGTCATATTAGTGTCAACTGACGTGAAGACACGGGTGTGACAAGTGCTTACCCGTGTCTCGAGAATACTGCAGGAATCTTGTCAATTTCTGGCCATAGTCCAAGGTCTCCGTAGTCCAATGGTACTCCATATAGTGTCCACTCGATTGCGCTTAATAACACTAAAGTTCTGTTTACATATGCATCTCAACCAAACGAGTAAACATACCAACCGAGTTATTAACTATTCCTTGACATATATCGTCTTTGATATGTTCATTAGACAAGTATTAGTACCAAATTATATAAATATAATTTCTAAAATGCACAATTACACATAAAAAAAATATTTAAAATCAATATAGGCTAGCGCAAAGTCAGTTACAACCAGCGTGAACGTAATTCCAAAAACAGTCTCGTAGCTTTAATTCACTGTTTGTACATCTTAATGGTATTTTATTATACTGCTTCTCTAATATAATTTAAAGTACTTGTACTTCATTCCATTCTTTTTTATTGTAAAATATTTAAATTATTTTTGTATTCGATCGATTTTGTTATATAATCATTCTCAAGCAATAATAATAATTTACCAACTCTTAGTAAATACGTTAAATAAGAAACCAATACATAAAAAATTAAGTGTTTAAACTCAATGATATGAAATATCGAAACATAGGTTGTCCACAGATATGGAGAAAAAGGAATATTCTTGTGATGATGGAGTAAGTAAATGTGTTACTATTACCTAACATTACTTAAGAAGAACAAAAAACAAACTTCGATTATGACAAAACTAGTTATTTTGAATTATAGACTAAACTATTGAACCTATTTTGATAAAATTTATGTGTCTAATTTGTAAGTATCTATACACAAATCGATTTATAACGGGCAGAGTTATGAGTTAACAAACATAAAAAAATTACAACTGAATTGAAAATCTCCTCCATTTTTGAAATCAGTTGAAAATTAGTATACTTTGCTCTTAGGCATTCAACTGAATAATCTCTTTTTATCCGCTGCGTGGTCCGCGGCACATATGAAATGAACATTAATTAGGCATATGTCATATCCCACGCTCACCGCGCCACAAACCATTTTATCATTCTTTTGTAAAATACCATCCGTTTCAATTGTATACCCTTTTGCTCCTATTATGTCTTTATTTCTACTGCGTCACAATATTTCTGGGACCTAAATTGCGAATCGTAAAAACTTAAGTCGTATTTCTGACATCTGCTAGAGAAATTCGGTAGAAAATAAACCCAATGCCTTTCAATAAATGCTAACATTTATTAAAATCATTATAAATTCTTCTTTTGATTAATTTGTGAATAGGGACTTAAGTAAAAAAAAGAAGGAGCAGATGTATATACTCGTATGTGATATACATATCGTTTTACTTTCACTCTATTTACCTTTACAATATATAATATAATATGAGAAACTGGTTTAGTCGTAAACTCCTTGAAATACCTTTTAGTACTTTACTGTTATGTTAAAGTAGAAACACACATATATTTTTCAATAAATAAATTCTTTATTAGTATTATAAAATTAGTATTATATATTTAGTAGTAGTATAAAGTTTTAGTGGATAATAATGGAATGGTAACTCCGCTTGCGCCAGTGATTGGTGATAGGTGAGGATGAAACCAGATCAGTTAACCCATTGTAACAAATTTCACAAGAATTAATCACAACGATTTACAGGGAGAACCGCTTGGAGGTCGACCTGACTGGGTTATTTACTAGCAATGGAAGTTAACGTCCCCATCACTAACACTCCTCCTCCCTCCCTTAACTCCCTCCTTCTTTATTATAGCTAATGACACCACTATTTTTAATTTCATTTCTATAACTATATACATAGTACATTAAAATACAACAAACAAATATTAGTAATGTATCAAAGTTATGAGTTTACAAATTTTTTTTCATTTAATTTTTGCAGAAAATATTAACTATTTTTTTTTATACAACTTAGAATGGCAAACCAGCTGACGGTCCACCTGATGGAAAGTGGTAATCGTCGCCTACAGATATGAGCAGTACCATGGACATAACAGAGTATACTGTTTCGCCCATGATACTCCCCGTTGCGTTGCCATTCCTGAGGACTCACATGTTATTCCTCTGTACCCAGTAAGTTCACGCCATATCCCACCCTTCAAACCGAAACACAGCCATGCAAACACAACTGCTTCACGGTAGAAACACGAATGGGACAGAGGTAGCCAAGCAATCGACTTTTGTACAAAGTCTCCCTCTAGTAAACTATTAAATAACAAGAAAATATTATTTATAATTATAACTACGGATCCATTTTGTATACTGATGACACAGTCTAGATTATAATTGTTTAATAAACTATTCACGTATCATTCAAACTAGTAAACAGATAAATAAAAAAAAAAATGTTGTACAAATATCTTTAATAATACTTGATTTATTTTTCTGCGGAAAATGTAATGTTTCTAAATGTACGACAAAAACTTTATGTAAATTTAAGAACCTACGTAGTAGTACAATTGAACAAATTTAATGTAAATCGCAATATTAAAACGCCGTTTGGATATTTATTTACAGGAAAGGTATCCATGTCAATACAGAAATGTATGACGCACAGTCAGCGGCGGGATCTTAAGCTATATGATATTTTATGGCCAAATGAGATCTAGCTGAAACGGAAAATGGCAATTTTATATTGTTATTAATTATTATAGTCATTTTTCACATTCAAGTATAATCGTCAATCCTCGTTTAATTATCTCCTTGTCAGTAACAAATGTTTACGACATGCTTGTAGTCGCAAATTACGACCTCAAACGTCCCTCTTATTATGTCACAACGAAACTCGAGTATTACGATATTATACCTACTTTTTTCTTTAAATTTATGAAGTACTAAATAAAATAAAATATATATATATATATATATATATATATATATATATATATATATATATATTATTATACTTAAATTGGTTCATATTTATATACATATATTAGAGATAAGAAATTTATCTTTTGAGACCTTAACAAATGATGCAATTTCTTTATTCACAGAGTCAAGCCATGAGAATCGTCCGTACAGTCGGTCAGGCATTTGAAGTATGCCACAAAATGCAGACCAACTCCCCTGATCAGCCGGTTCCATCTACATCATCTATTATTGATGACCAGACGCCTATCGACCACGTCAGTGATGCACCAAATCCCAAAGGTTTGATACTCTCCTGATTTAGGAGAACAGAAGCCTAACTTACGACTATAATAAAGCAAAGGAATAAGATGTGTATGGAGTTTCCACAATAAAACATTTATTCAAAAAATAAATAAAAATGATTTGTTATAAATATAGATTCACCATTTGCAACTATAACATACACTCTTTTAAGACTGTGATGTGGACGCTTCACATGTCATAAATTGGACTTTGGAATGAATCATTTTTATTTATAAAAAAATAAACTCATTCATCCATACTAATCTTTGGACATTCAGATAATAAGATAATTCATAGATACGAACACTTGGAATAATTGGAATTACTTTTATCAGACAACTCAATTATCCATTTGTGTTACGAATCGCTACTCGTAGCCCCAGGCGGATGGTTGCTAATCTTCTTACCTATCATAACTGCTTGCGACAGATTTTCTATTATATACCTATCTATAAATCATTATTTCTGTTTGCCAAACGAAAACAAGCCGAGCGAAATTCATTTATATATTGCTCTCTACGAATTGTCATCTGCACTAAGCGAAATACTTCAATCATTACAATCAACTCTGTGTAACAATAGACATGTAATAACGCAGTTCTAGTTAAATATTTATAAGCTGGTTCGCTGCTAGTGTCATAAAGTTCCGTTGAACAAGTACTTTTTTTCTTATTCGAATTTGTAATTATATATTACCGTAGCACACATATTTACTTTTAAAATACGAATTAGAAAAAAAGCACTACAAATACAATTTTACAAAAGTCAACTACGGACGGGAAAAAGACGGACTCGACGTTTCTTAATCAACAAACTACAATTATGTGTGTTCTCGAAATTAATAACGCTGTCAGGGTGCGCCTTGGTGGCAAATTTACCACAAAACTGTAAATGTCAGGAGCATTGTAAATAGGCGGTTTTATAATTAATGTAGCACGGTACGGCACGATTTTATCGTCACGAGATAGATAATAACGAGAACAACATCTATGCAATTACACGGAGATGCTTTAAATTTACTATATAAAAGTGTCTTCTTAGAATTGCATACATTTTGTTTTCTATTACATATATATTATAAAATATATTATATATTATAAAAATGCCCATTAGTATTATACATTTTAAGAGAACCGTAGTATAGAGCCCTGATTTTTTTTATTTAGTACTATGACGAATATAGGTACTCATAAGTGCAGTAATAAACTTATAAATATTTTTGGTACATTAAACACTAGCATCTACACGTGTGTTTATTGTATTTTAGTGTTTGCCATATTTAAAGGGACCATATCTGTCATAGATCGAGATACAAAGCATAAATCAAAAAGACGAAAGACGGTTTGCCTTGTCATATTTTACGGTGACAAGTTATTGAGCAGACGTTACTCAGTTTACTACCATCGACGTCACATTAACAACACATGGTGCTAGCGCATAGTGCTGCTTTTTCACAATGAAGTCGTATCGTTAGTTTAAGGTTTATTATCCATCGCTTGATTGCACGTTGCTCAGTAAGCGTAAAGTAATAAAGCCTGGAAGTGGTTTATAACTGGATTTCATTCGACATAATTCTGACTAAATTCTGAATATTGCAATAGGAGATAACATTTAAAAAACATACATTTTAGGAAACCATATTACAAATAATACTATTATGTAAAATGTTATTACATACATTTTTGTAATATTAAACTATAAGTTTATAAACGATGTTTTTTATGGATTTTTTTCAATTCAATTATTATTCGTCATATCTATTTTTCAGTAGCATGTACGTTGTTAATTTTTTTCTGATAAGGATGCTTGTTCAGTCTGTAACATAAGAGGAATAGTCCTTAAGAGTGAGTGGCAGCACATAGGGGGTGTCATAAGTGGCATCATATATTATTCTGTAATGTCACCCTCATACATAAGGTAGAATGTCAATTTACGAGTATGTTATATTTTCAGTAGACTGAAATGGAATTAAATGTAGATTATTACATCCCAAATTATGCCTCCATATAAAAAAAAGAACAAATAATGTAGAGTTTGAAATACAGATTCTTTTTGTAAAGTTGGCGTCGACGAGTTATCCTTAAAAATCAGATGAAGTAATAGTATATAGCTAGTATACTAAGTACTTAATAAAACAAGCCCTAAGTTTGTTTACATAAAAGACCCAGTCTTACCTAACACATGCAATATCTTTCTTTGCTCTGGGCGTGAGTTTCTTATAATTAGCTTTTATGTATTGTTTTATGACATCCGACGCAACCGGTGGGTAACAGCTGTTTTAACAGGCAACGTCATAATTTTATTGCCTGTACCTTAATCTACCAATATATACGTTTTCTTTGCCAATGTCAACTACTCTGTTAGTAATTACAGTTGCTACATTTAACTCAGTGAAAACTATTTCATTACTTATTACATTGTAGTTATGCGGGCTGTTAATATATATATTAAATAACAGAAGTAACCTTTTTTAACGCTTTCATAAAGGGAAATTAAATATGTAATTAAAATTGAATACATTGCACATAATGTAAATTAAGTACACGAACTTTTATTAACGATTATCATCGTAAACTCTCTTCTTCTTTATAACGGGTAATGAGACAAATTCAGAATTAATATTTTTGAATCTTAAAAATAGACAATAATAATTAATTTTGTTTAATTTATAATAGATAACTTAGACAAACAAATTCTTATTTCTCAAACATGCTTGGAAATTTGAGCATTATTTAGACAATCTTCTTCGAGATAAATCAAAATTGCCAGATACATGCGGGCAGCGGCCGACAAAAGTTGAAAAAAATGAAAATCCATATCTGTCGTATTTTGCGGCCAGATAAATTACTATGTAAACTCATATCTGTCCTGTAATTTAAAAATGGAATGACCTTTTACTTCGAAACATGGCTGCCTCGGCATATATATATATATATATATATATATATATATATATATATATATATATATATATATATATATATATATATATATATATATATAATTCTGTCAAATTAGCTCGTATTACCCTACTAATAATTATTTTTAACTTTCTACCTCAAGAAATAATATATATAACGTAAATAATATTATAATTATTTTATTAAATTGCTATCATTTAAAATCTTCTTACACGTTTATATATTGTACTCGACTGTCAAATAATATTGAGACCTCAGAGAGATGATAGTGGTGGGTGCCATAATCCGCTAAACATATCTAAGGTAACAACCACTAAATGTGTATACACTCCACTTATATGTATCAGATATGTAGACATGATTTTATGTATATCAGCGTGAATAGCTATAAAGGCGGTACTATCGCTTAACATCAAAGACAGTTCTAGTTAAAATGAAGCCTAATATTCAGTCACCCTATTTTGAATTCTAATCTCACTCAAAATTGTGACAGTATAGTTTAGTAGTTTTGCACATATATTTATTACTACGATTTTTGATCACACTTATGAGTAAAACGGATTCAATTACTCATATACCAATGTTTTAGCGCAATTACAATAATTTTATTTCTATTTGTAGAGTTTTTATTTTACTTTATAACAATGCGCTTACTGTTTCATTAATTTTATTAAAAAGTAACTAAAAATGAGAATGAAACAAATTGAAATACTTTTAGTATAATTAACAAGGTAAATTATACTTTCAAAATAAAGCAAAAAAACTTCGGCTAACCTGGCTACGCAATCAATTTCGTAATGTGATTCGGGACTATTGGGACTACCAAAAATATAATCATAATTATATTAAAAAGTATAATATTTCAATCAATAATAAATATGGAGAATACTTATTATTATTAATACATGAAATAAAAAATATGTCGATATAAAGTAATATGCAAATAAGTAAAGAAGTAAATGGCGTAATTAGAATTATATCTACACCCATAATTTTATTCGAAATAACACTGAAGCTAACGGTTCGTATTCATATGTAAGAAGCATCGCATTCTGACAGCACCATGGTCATTATATCTTTATAAATTTTTAGTGTTAAAAACTTAAAAAGAACTTAAAAATGTTAAAACAACAAGCTAAAAGGTGCTACAATCTAAAAAACACTCACGCATTGTTGCCATAGAGCAAAAAATATAAAGATGATGATAAATATAGAACGAGTCAAAACACGGAGGCGGGGGCAAGCCCACTGCCATCTCCGGAATTAATTAATTATGTTTAAATATTAATGGTATTTAGCTTTACAGGAGAGTTAAGTCAGTTATTAAAATTGATAGACATATTTTAGGTGTCATCCAGAATAGAAATCATTATCTTAGTGTCATAATGTCTCACGGTGAATCTTAAATTTCTTTTTAAACTCTCGTCCTTTTAAATTTATGCTTATAAAAATTTGAATTTAAGTTAAAATAAAAATAAAATGTGTAGTTATTAAACCTAATGACTGTAACACGAAGCAGACACTTTGAATCAACAGAAGCGGTGTCTGAATGTGGTGCTTCGGAGTCGTGTGCTGCATCCACGTCGAAAGTGGCTGCAGATGAAGGAGCAGTGGGAGGAGAAGACCAGACAAGACCTACACACTTAGACCTTCTACCACCCCCACCTAGGAAGGATGGAAAGCGATCTCCTCAGGTAATTTGACATTTATTTTTATTATTCTAAAACTAAGAAGTAGTTCAAAGTTTTCAATCATATGCTGTGTATTACTATCATAGAGACATGAATGGACCGACTCGACCGGGGAAGTACCATATCCTCATAGAATACCGATGCTAAGTGGCCGCACTTTAGTGTGACCACATTTCGTATAGTGAGTGAGGGAGTCCGGGTACCCATCCCTTTCCTAATCCTAAAATCCTTCCTCAACCCCGTCCCCCTCCTCATCCTTTAATACGATCATGACAGTGGAATTTAGCACCAAAGGCGTTGCAGGTGATCATGGGCGGCAGTAGTCACTCACCATCGAGTGACCCGCTTGCTCGTTTGCCCCTGTTATAAAAAAAATACTGCTTGAAAGGTACTAGCATCAAAAAATCGTCGTAGGCTCTATAACTTACTGTATTGTTATTATTATTTCTCTTAACATAGACAAAATTTATATCAAGAGCGATGTGTTCTTTTTTAAATAGTCACATTTAAATTACATTTTTGTTCTCCGTGACGAATAATACAACAAATTTTAATTTTATAACCGTATAAATGTACTAAGCCCCTTTTGAATTTATAATTAATCGGTTAATTCCGTTACTATAATTAAAGGTTACTTAATAGACAGAAAATATGTTTTTTTTTTAGTTATACATTTTACCTATTTGTAGAGAATGCGTAATACCATAATTAATCTAAATCTATAGGTAATTTGCAAATGCAAAATTAATTTATTATTTTAATTTTTATTAGAAGGTTACTTAGTAGTTATTATTATAAAACTATTATCTTATACTATGTCCATCACACTTATTTACTTATTAAGATAGAACAATAAAAACTTATAAACTTACACACTTGTAATATTTTCAAGAAATAAATGTCGAGTATTCCTTAGCATTCATAATGATACAATCGAGTAAAATAAATTTAATAAAAACAGCCAATAAAAAGTATAACCATCATTGGGAATAATTTATAAGCATCGGAAAATTCACAAAGTTGAAAAAAACTTCTTTAATAAAAGTCTCTTTGAATGTCCATCGGATTCGTTTGTGAAAGTTAAATAAATATTAATATTGAAGAAAAAATACCACTGCAAAGTCCAGTATATATATATCTTTTACCATTATTATTTAATTTAAAGGTAAGTAGGTTACCTTTGTTGTAATTTTTTTTGTTTTATTTCATACCGCGGCACTCGTGCATGCGATCAGCCTCCAGGGTAAACCTTTCTCATGAAAATACGTTTAGTGCCTAGTATTCATTTTTTCCAGTTATATTATATTACGAAATAATGTTATTTTCTTTTATGTAATAATAATCGGCCCCATAATAATTTCATTATTGTGAAGGTTTTAAAAAAGGTCCATCTTTATTTCCTTTGAGTAAATAAATCAGATATGTACTTGTCTTGCACAATTTTGCAACTTACAACAACCTTAACTAGTCGTGCCATTTTTAATGAAATTATAAAGTGGCTTTTATGCATTTCGTTACTTTGTTAACATAATAACATATCATAAAAGGAGAAATCAACTTTTCCTTTATCTGCATTACATAAGTATTTTAAACTTGTAAAATATTTGTCGTGTCTAAATAATTAAGATTGTGTTTCTACAAAAAAAAATTTACTTTATTTGTAGCGGAATCAGTTACTTTGATTTTTGTTATATGGAGATAGACTTTGTTTGCAAATTAGTGTAAGAAAAATCATCCATAAAGGTCAATCCTTATATTAATTAAGATTTAATGAATTTAAGATAATTTTCTGTGGATGGAATGAAGGAAAAATAAAATTTCAGTTATGAATATAAAACAATAAGTTTACTGATTGGTAGATGGAAATCTTATTCACTAGTAATATCCTAGGAATATACTGCAACAGGACTATTTCAATAGATAATATTAGTTACTTTAATAGTTAACATATATGCAAAGGTTATAGATTATAAAACTGACTGCCCTGAATTGCTTAATAGTTTTAGATTCGGGGAGCACACTAGTTGGTATAATCCTATTAAGCCCTTTGTGCCTGCCTCTACTGCGCCCTGATCTTATTGGGCCGAATTCTCCAGTAATAACATAAGCAGGTTGTTCAATGATCATATATTAGATTACAAAGAGTCGTATGTTATTATCTGGTAAATCTTTAATGCCTTTTAATTCCCTCACGAATAATACGATTTTCTTAAAATTTTACAGAAAGGTAAAAGTTTACACTGATAAAAAGTATTATAGTTATCAAATGAGCTGTAGAGCCTGCTATTATCTCCTATCAAATAGTGCAGCAGATTATGGTGTATATGTTATGTATGTTATGTGTTGCAGAAGAGCCAAATTAAAAATATTCGTAACCGGCGAGCGTATATAAAAAGATTAATGAATGTGGAGGAAAAGAAAAAGAGGTACAAACATATAGACAGACAGAAATGGTCTAATACAATTATATTAAATTAATGAAAAATGAAGTAGGAATCTATTATGTGCACTATTATATGTAATGTTCTCTTACTACAATTTGAAGATATTTAATAAAAATAGTCAACATCAAAATTGAATGAACCCGAGATTTTAAAAACCCGTAAATACGATTGCGTAAACAATTATCTTTATATAGTTATAAAGAATTGGGTAAACATGGCATAATGTTAAGTTAATAAATATATAGTGACATTCACAGCTGTGTATTTTGGGATATTAAAATAATGATGACTGTAATTTTCTAATTTTGATGTGCGGTCTTTCATAAGAAGAATAAACTTATATATAAGTATATAACGAAAAGTACCTGTCAACTGGAATATAAATCTTAATATTCGAAATCTTGAATGAACAAGCTACTGTTTCTTGGGAAATTAAAGAGTACCATTCTTACACGTGTCACTGAAAATAACAATTAACGGCCTCGGCTTAAGCTTAAAAAAGGTTTTTTAAAATTACTTCAAAAGTACTCTACCTCGCCTCAATCGTTTAATATTAATCAATTGCTATATTTCTAGCTTTGACATAATTATTTTATTTTAATATTATTACTTATCCTCGTCATCATCTCAGCCATTATCCGTTCACTGCTGGACATAAGCCTCCCCCATAGGTAATTAAGGAAATAATAACTGCAGTAGATAGCTACATTTTTCTTGTCAATATTTTTTAAATCCGTAAATGGGTGATAGCTATATAATTATCATATCAGTCATTAACTGTTCACTGCTGTACATAGGTCTAGGTTTTGCCAGTAGTTGCCACGTTTAGTAAGCGGATTGGCAACCGCATAATGTATTTTAAGTGTGACACTGATGCCCATCCCTCGACCATAACTTCCCTTAGTCGCCTTTTACGACACCCGCGGAAAAAAAGATTGGCCCATTCAATGCCGGGACCTACACGGCGATTACTTATACTGTGGTAATAATATAATAATTTAATACTTTTTACTTAATCTTACATTTGTTAGACTTTGATGGATTTTTGTTTGTTGAGTGGTTAAGTTACAACAAATAAGATTATTAAGAAAAAGTTGCTGAGAAAATGAAAGGATATTTCCAAACAAATTATAAGTAAATATTCGCGAGATCGTCTTATACGATTACTGCATGAGATTTGCTTTATTAAGAACGTGAGATAAACAAATCATGTCGGTGAGAATGATACTGTTTACACAATTTCCCTATGAATCCCAGCGTAGTTGGACAAATAATGAATCCTCAGCTATTCATACTGTTTGAACTGATTTTGTAAAAGGAAATAAACAAATGTAGTATATTGTGCCTGCTCATTTATGGAATAAATAGGTTACATTCATAAACATAGAGATATATAATGTATTTTAATTTATATTAAAACTAGTGTTTACTCGTGTCCTCTTTCGCATAAGCGGAATATGTTGTTTGACCATGACAAAAAGCGTATGTTTATAGTATATTATTATGTAAATTTAATTTAGTGATGATTGGCTAAATCGTTAATGGACCAAAAGGTAGTAAACAAATACGCTTCACCCATACCTTACTTCCAACTAATATAATACAATTATAATTTATACATTGTTTATGCATAAGAGATATTTAAAAAATATATAGGAGAGTTCTTATTAAGAGCAACAGTTACAAAAAAAATATTTTGTTTATAGTTTTTGTCTATCTGTCTGTCTTTATTCTGACATCACACAAAAACTACTGCACCACATTGAATGTGATTTGTATTCCTAAAGTCACAGCCATATTCCTGGAGATATAACTTAAAATCTTTGGTACATTTTACCTTCATACACTACCTTAAACTACCTATTTACATCCAAAAGCCACGCGTATCAACTTATCTTCGTAACGCGTAACTACTTTTGTAACATACAATTTTGTACATTTGTACATACTTTTGTAATATAACTTCCTAGCATTTTTTTAAATTAATTAATACTATTAGTCGATTGAAAGTTTATACAGAATTAGTCTCTTAAACTGTGCGAGTATGATCTAAGCGGTAAAAATTACTTCAAACCAATAATCTTGTTATTATCTTTGAGTGATAAGATTTTATGCTCGCAATATACTTAATTGCTTCTTGCTACGACTGTTAATTTTGAAACGAGTACTCGTTGATTAATTTGTTGGTGCTAATTGTTGACGGTAGATTTATCCCCCTCGTACATCAAGGAAACAAATTGCCAAGTTAAATTACCATTAGTTACAAGCGACACCGTTTTTATGTACTTATTCTAATGTACTGTAACGTACGTTATATATCCCATCATATTAATTATTCATCACAAATGCTAGAAACAAGTATAAAATTTTACTTGCATATTTTTTTAATGTATAAATTAGAAAATATACTTGAATAATAATTATAATTTATACTGTGTCTACACATGTAAGCACGATCAATACTTTTAGCATTTGTGCGAGCATGTAGATCATAAAAATATAATAACAGTTCTACTATAAAAAAAAATAACAATTCTTTTGTCTAAATAATGTTTAACA